ATTGATATTTATTGATTGAAATGTATTTATCTTTTTAAATAAGCAGATGAGATCCTAATGTCTCTCTTGTTCTAATGTAATTTAGCTTCGACAATACTACCGATATTCAGAATAATAACATTAATTTCTGATCGCGCAAGAATCTCGATGAGAATCTCGGCGAGGTAAATTATAGAAAAAAAAGAGAGAAATTTATACATCCTGATAATGTATACATATATTAAAGATATCGATCGTGTAAAGATACTTTTACAACAAAACTTCGTCGCATTTCTTTCATTCGAATATATGCATTTAATTTTTTTTTTTTATTAATTAGTTCTTGATTATTTCGGAACTTATATGAGCGCATTGCGATCGCATAAAAATTTCTTTCGCGCGTTTTTCATTTCTCTTCCTGTTAAAAACAATATATCTAACAAAGATAAAAACGATTCGAACGAATCGTTTATCGCGCGAATATATAACAAATATTTATTATTTTAACTATTTAATGCATTGGGATACTTATTATGTACATTTTAAGATATTCATTTTACTTTATATCTTTTGCAATATGTACATTATTTTTATTATCTTTTTTAGGAAGTAACTTAGAAAGTTGTAAGATTCTTAATAATATATATGACACATCTTAATGTGTTATATTATTATTATGATCTTACTTTATTTTGTTTTATATATTTACCGTGATTACCAAAATTTTATTTGTTCTTGAAGTAATAGACTTATTTAACTATAACTTTCTGAACTGAAAAGAATCTTAATCCTATTTGTTCGACTTTCTTTCGAATATGTTTGATATATTCAAAAACTGTAAATGTATATCGGTTGTCTCCGAGTGGTTTTTATTGGCCCTAATTTGCGAATTTGTATTAAAGCTGTGAGAAATATGTAAATATTGTGTCTTTTGACGATTTCTTAATCTGTGCACATATTTGCTTTTATTGACAAAACAAAAAATATTGAATTTGTCTTCTTTAGTGTTAAAGATTAATATTCAATTAGGGCCAATTGCTCCAATCATTTGCACCAGTCATCAGAAATTTCTTTCCATAAGTTACTTTTCCTGTATATCAAAATATCCATAGATGATTAAAGCAATATAAATAAAAGATCTATAACGTTAATCTTACTATTCGGAAACATTAAAATAATTTGAATTTTCTAAATTATGATTTTGCTTTTTTTTTTTCTTTTGAACAGATTTGGCGAAAGATTTACCTAACAACTTTAGCGACGATTGAAATTAATGTAAATCGCTCGAGATAGCGATTGGTCCAATGTATAATTAAGTCAATCCTTCTTGCTCGCATTCTTAGAATGACTGTAGATATTCCAATTGCAATATATCTTCCTTCTGTCTTTTTTTTTTATTATCTTGTTGATGCAACGGACTCTGATTCTGCAATTCAACACATTTATAATGTCGGGAACATAAAAGGTAATGACTATAGGTATATGTTTATAATCATATTCAGAATTATTTCGTTGAAATAGTTGAAACGATAACATATAGGTTATCTGATATTCTGCAAAAAACTTGGAACTATATATGAAATACAAAAGTGTGTAAGTGTAAAAGCTTACCGTGATATTTATTATACCTTTCTCTATTTCATCCTTTTCCAAATGATTAAAATCCAAATAGAAAATTTGAAGGGAAAAAAAGGTAAGAGCTACTTGACATATAATTTTATTATTACTACTACTTTTACTATCTATAACATATAATTATATATGTAATAAGTATAATTATTATAGTATTTTATTATTGGCGAGAAGATAATAATCGACAAGATTTGTATAAAAATTTAGATATTTTATTCCATACACAATATTACAGATAACGCTCATATTTATAATAATATATATGTATTCTTTAATGAATATTATTAATATAATAAATATTGTGTTCTACAATATCTTTATATGAAGGAAATGCATATTTTTGTTGTCAGTATATGAAATATATGATAAATCAAAAGTCATGATTATGCTTGAACATTAAGGTTTTTATGATATGTTTTTACAAGATTAGTGATTAAATATTTGTAAATTTTTTAATAAAAAAAATTTTTCATGCATATTTTATAAATGTATCGAAAAGGAGAGTATCTATGATAAACGGATAGAAAATGTTGAAAGAAAATTAGTTTTACATGCATGTTCGCAAAATTTGTATTACAATCGTGAAATAATCGAAAAGTCGCGCACAAATATATAAATTAATAAGACAAATAATTAAATAATAAATATTTTATAAAAAATAAGCTTATAAAGAAGTAATATTTTATGAAAAGAAATGTGGACAATCTGATTCTGATTAAATATTTTTTTACTTCATATATTATTTATCAAAAATGATTAATTGAGATGTATTGTAACATTTGATTAATCTTAATTAATAATTAAGGATAAAATTACTAGAAATTGAATATTAATTAAAATTTGGAG